CTGGGTTTGAGTTCTTGGTTAAACAGCATACCTGGACTGAGTTTGTTGTTGGTTCTCGTTCTTGCTCTAAGGTTTTTGGCCAGCTTTTATATCGTTGCTCATCCACAAAAGCCAAGTCCCTTAAATCCAAATTTCAACTCTATTTGGAGACAGAAGACATAAATATAACCACTCCAAACTTATGCCTGTTGTTTAGTTCCAAGTTATTTTCATTTTCATTTTCACTTCCAAAACAGCATGATTTGGTGACCCCTTGCACATTAACATCAGAATAAAAGTGTATATAACTGAGCCCAACTAGTGAATTAAAAATCAACAAGTCAGTTAATGAATAGTTTCATATACCAATTCTGCTTTGTAACAGGCACCTTATCACCGGAAGAACTCTAATTGCTAGTACAGTGCGGTTTCGACAGAACACTGACCCCAGTCAGCTGACCCCCTACTGATCCCCTGCTGACTCCCATGTGCTATCAGGCTGGAGCTTATCCCGGTTTCTGTAGCATGAAGCGACCAGTAGTAATTCTACAGAAACCGGGGTAAGTGCTGACCTAATGGGCCACTTGGCTCATATGTAGACCTCACTTCCTCTTCGGAGTTGCTGTTTGCCTCCTTTTTAGAACGAATGCTCGTGCGAAACATTTTACATGAAAATGACTTGATTTTCAAGAGAATGAACGTGCAGGTGATATGCATTTTCATACGAATAGTTTTGCACAAAGACTCGTTTTGCCACAGAGGCAAAAGTCAACTATTCATCCATGAGTTGGCTCAGGGAGCCTTTGATATTTTTAATAATTGTATATGAATCTAGTTCAGTCTTTTTTTCTCTTTATATTTACATTTTTAGATTTTTGTATATTTTATATTTCATTTTATTATTTGGTTATTTATTTGTTTTACGCAGGACCCATGTTGATAGCAGTTCTTATAACTGAAATGGACATCCTGCGTAAATATGTTTATTTATTTATTTATTTATTTATTTATTTATTAACCCCAGACTTCTGAGCCGTATAACTGAAAATGAAGAAAAAGGAAATCACTAAAAGTTTGCTAATAACATCAAGCGACAACTCAAGAGAACCTTGTGAAATTGAGATACCGGCTAGTTTATTTAACATACAGGCTTAAATTTCTGTAAAACCTAGTAGCTGGGCAGTACATGACTCCCCGGGTATTCGAGGCAAACTGTTTCTCTGAGAAAAAGTTGCCGCGTCAGCCAGGTTTACCCTACCTGCCGAGGCCGAGACGGGCTGACAACTCGCCCGCCGGAGACGTGTTCGCGATCCTCTTGAACGGTCGTTTGAATATTTCGGGTGTCAGTAAAACGCGGACTCGGGGTCGGGGTCGGGGTCGGGGTCGGGGTCTCCTTTTTTATAATTTTTTCTTTCTTTCTTTATTTTTTGATGTCTTTTTTCTTTGTTTTTTTTTCTTCACCCAAATTCTGATTTCTCGCGATTTAAATCAGCAGTGCATCATTGCAATATTTTCGCATATAAAGAAAGTAAGATGCGGTGGAGCTCATTTTTTCACACCATCTCAAACAATCCGCGTCAAATTTCAGTCAAGACAGTCGCATATAGAAGCTGCCCAGATTTATTTTCTAGTTCAGCGCGCTGATTTCTGCAAAAAAGTCCATGAGTTAGTCGAGTTAGTGGAGAATTAAGAGATCCACCATTAGGTCAAATAAGGATTTTAAAGGCTCTAAAATAATTCGACTCGAAAGCTTAGTATATACACTCGATGCAGCTCTATTCTGGCAGTTCCGTGTATTGATCGACTACGTCATACTCTCGCAAGAAACGAAGCGAGGAAAAACAGATTTGTTTGCCTTGAACTAACAAATTCGTGAACTAGAATAAGAAAAACTTACCATAAACACCCCCGCTGCCTTCCATGAAACCCTGGGAACGAGGTTGCTGTAGATCGTTTTGACTGTCGCGCAATGAAAAAAATAAATCAAAAACCTTTTAGTGGACGAAGTCAAGAAAATGCGATCTTATAAAAGATAAATGAAGGGAAAATCTTCTTCAATTGTAGGTCTAGTGCGTTATCCCAAACTTCAGATATTTGTCGATAGGTTTCGCACAAATTTACAGCTCGGTATCGAGCCGCCATGTTGGCGAACCTCTGATGTACCAAACAAATGAGCTCCATCGCATTTTATTTTCTTTATATACAAAGGTATAGCAATGATGCACTGCTGTTGCAAATCGCGAGAAATCGGAGTTGACATTGAAATAAAAAAAAGGAAAAGAAAAGAAAAAAAGACATTACTTTGAAAGAAACTTTAAGAAAGAAGGAAAAAAGTGTAAAAAAAGAGACTCTGACCCCAACCCCGGGTCCTCATTTTATTTACATCCGAATTTTTCAAAATACAGTGGAACTGCTGCGTTTATTGGAACTATATAACGAAGTCCTCGGAATAACGAACGTTATTAAATTCTCAACCTCGGATAATGCAATTCCAGCTTTCTGATTGGTTCACTGTATCTCGGTTACTAGCCACTATAATCCATCAAATATTTTCGCGCGCGATTGGTCTAAACACGTCACGTGACCGTATAGCTAAAACAGAGATTATTCCCCAATTTTCAAAACTGCGCGCGTTGCAAAAAAGGTTTGAAGAATAATAAACACAATAGCCTCCATTCGCCTTTACCGCACAGCAGCCATCTTGGATTGACGTCATGTACTTTTGACACCAATGCGAGGCCACGCGTGTAAAGTCAACTTCCGGCGATCGAGGAGACAAGGCGATCATCTGCAATCATGCCCAACGGAGATCACTGTTGAGTGCTGCAATGTAAAATAATCGCTTAAAAATATTCCAAATCATATCTTTCACCGATTTCCCAGTGATGAAGCCATTCGAAAG